CAGGGCCAATCTTCCTCACACACGCACACACACAAAGAATGAAAATTCCTTTAGAGTTGTGTTTGTTGTCTGTTTTGTTCACTACTGAATCCCAAGTATCTAGAACTTGTGCCCTAGCAAAAATTAGGTACACAGGAAACATTTGCTCAATTGATGTCCTGGACCAGCATTTCTCAAAGCATTGTCAGAGAAACACTGAGAAACATTCCTTTTGTTGTTAATGAACATTCTGTGAAAGCGGGTTGTCTGGTTAAAGAATTTTGGGGACCACAGCATACAAGGGTTACATTTTAGATATTCAAATTCTATATTATCAAATGTGTCTGAGAATTCCTTTAATTAAGGAGTGTGTAACCGTGGTTGATTTCATTGACTGCGGTAACCTTGTCAGAAGTAATAACACGGTCATTTTCTAGTTCCAGTGGGAAACGCTATCCTGAGTCCCTCGTGCCCTCACACAGGATAGGCCATTAGATCCATGTTTATGCTCAACAGGGGATTCACATTGAGTTCAAACTCCATTTACGAAGTCATTTTTTAAAAAAGATTGAAAGTCTGCGCTCGTTCTTTGATGATCCTTCAAAGAGTATGAAGCTCTCATGGAGTAGCAAATTCAGGTTTTTAATAAAGTAAAAGCTTACTCTGTTCTTAGCACTGTTTTAAGCAATTGATAGACATTCATCATTTAATCCTACAAATATGCCTGTGAGATAGGTCATGAATTATCTCCATTTTACAAGGGAGGAAACTGAGGCACAGACTAGTTCTGTACTTTGCCTACGTTAGCAGAGTCAGTTGCAACAAAGCCAAGATTTGACAGCAGGCAGCATTGCCCCATGGCCTGTCTGGCTCTTTTATCTCTGTTTGTAAAAACTAATTGCCGATTTTAGTGAGGATCTCTTTTGTTAACCCCACATAATAGAGAATTTTATGATTACTATTTTTAACAAAAATGTTTTGGGATTTAAATATATATTTTATGTTATGCTATTTAGAGGGTAGTGAACATACATTTTTACCTTTAGCTGCCATATGGCACCATAGCCCCCATGTCCCTCAATAATTAATCACAAAAGTAAAGCATCTGATACAAGCATATTTTCCAAATTTAGGCTTTTCAATCTTATTTATGTGACTTTGTCATTTAGGAATATACTTCTCCATATAGATAATCATGTATGCTTGACTAATTGAGAAACTATGTCAAAATGTCCCATGTTGGGGGAAAGACCAGTATCATAAAAATTTCCATATGTAAATAAGATAAGAAATATATAAGTAGGCAGAAAAATATCACTAGCATGTTTCCATAAAAATGCTGTAACAGTTTTAATAATTTAGAATAATTGGGAACATATAAATCAAAAGATTCTTAAAATAATGTTTTTTATATATAGGAAAGAAGACAAACTCAACTGAGTCAAAATGTTAATTCACCAGAAATCTGGAGGAAATTAAAGTCTTGACTGTTGCTATGATTGATAGACTAGATTTCCTAAATACTTCTTTCTAAAATAAAATTTTGTCTTTTAATCACACAAAAAAAATTATCATATCTCCTATAATTTATTGATATTAATGATAATGACATGCTGAGCAGAGTTTTCAGGCTACTTGTATAAGCTCTTCCTCAGAACAAATGAAATATATTGAGAAGCTGTATTAACTCTTTCAAAACCTCAGAGTACCAGATTTTATTTTCCACTTAGGCTAAAGTAATTTTTTAGATAAAATACATATCTATTAAATATCTACTATATTTTTTGCATGGTGCTATTTATCACATGGTATACAAACATGAGAAATTGGTTGCACTGCAAAATAGAAAAAAAACATGGATCGTTATCCACAAGCAAGTGTAACCATATAATAAAGTTTACTTGGAATTTCAACATATTAATTTAGAAAAATAAATAAATGGTGAAAACAATTGCTATTACAAATCCTTCATTCCTGGGTAAACTCAGGATTGCTAATTCTTTAAAACAGGATTTTTTTCTGATGTATTTTTTATTTCTGATTTTATTGAATTTTTTTCAGAAAGAATTGGCAATAATTTTGCTGTAACTACATGGAAACCTGCCCATAAATGCTGCATGTCTTAAATTGAAAAATGCACTTATATTAGATATTGATTCATTTCATGGTTTATTCTTTATCAGTGCAACCAGAAACCTGTACTTGTGTAAGTAACAGAGCAAGTAATCATATTTTATTGCCAACAAAAATGAAATTAAAAACATTTTAAAGAATCCCATGGATTTTTTGCCCCACAAACTGGTCCAGCAATGATGCTCAGCTTTTAGTTATGGCATTGTCTCGTTGTCGGTTTGAGAATGTGCTAAGAAATCGTTTCCTTATGTGACTATTAAGAATAATTTACAATGAGGAAGTGGTTTTCGGAGGACAAGTGAGCTTCTAAGACCTTTCGCTTTTGGTGGTTTCCATAGTCAGTCTAAGGAAATTAAGGATGTATAGGGCAGAATTTAACTAGGTCTCTTTAATCAAAAAGTCCTGAATTCAATAGCTCAATTTCTAATTAAAAATTGCTCATCTGCTGCATGCTTCAGATTCTTTATTTCTGAGTCTCCAAGCTTTCTGTTTTCTTTGACTAAATCAATTTAAACTAGTTAATGTAGTATTCTTTGTCTTCTAAGATTCTAATCCCTTTATTCTGTTTTATTTTTCTACATTTTGATACTTAGGTTATGGTCAATAAATGTTCTTTCTTCCTGACAAATAGAAATGGCAAGCAATAGGATATATTGGCGTGTATGAGGAAGCCATTTGGTGTAAACCTAATTCGGCCTGACTTTGTTTTTCCCAAAAGGGCCTGACCGTGGCCATTGAGCATGCATTGTAATATCTGCTTTAAACATTTCCTATGTCAAGAAACAAATGGCCTTAAGATAAAGGTGCAACTTCCCCCCACATTGGTATTTCCTTAAGGATAAGCATTTTTCCTTAGGCTAGGAACTGATTGCTGTGCTCACCTTTGACCACCCAGCTCACCTGTGACCACCCAGCTCAAGACAACAGACCTGCCACCCTGCTCTGTCCACTGAGACAGCAGATCTACCTGCTGTGTCCATTGATCACTGTGCCCACAGAGCAGTCTTGCAACTATTGTGAAAGGACATTTCAATCACATGTGAAACATTTTCTTTGGGGGTATATAACCACTCTGTGCACCCCACTTCTTTGGTGCCTTTTCTTCCTTCGGGAAGAAAGGACCCAGGCCATGGTCCTCACATTTTAGCTCAGAATAAACTCTCCCAAATTTTAATTTATAGATTGGTTATGGATTATTTTCATTGACACTTCCTAAAATAATATGTGTGTTATATAAATATTTCTCATATTTTCAAGCTAATTATCAGTGCAAATAATCCATAACCAATCTATAAATCAAAATTGGGGTGAGTTTATTATGAGCCAATCCTGAAGACCATATAGCCCAGGAGAGTCCTTTCACAAAGGAATGGAGCACTCCAAAGAAGTGGGTGCATACACAGTGGCTATATACAGTCAAAGAGCATGTATCACATATGCTCACAATGTCCCTTTTACAATAGTCAGGAGATTGCTTTGCCAACACATCACTTCGCTGTACACAGCAGGTCGGTGGTTGCAAGGTGAGTGGTCACAAGGTGAGCACAGCAGGTCAGCAATCAATCCTTAGTTTAGGGAGAGATCCTTAAACTTAAGGAAATGCCAGTGTGGGGGAAGTTACATCCTTATCTTTAAGGGCATTGTTCTTGTCTTTGTGTCATAGTAAATACTTAAAGCAGATATACAATGCATGCTCAGCGGCCACATCAGTCTCTTTCAGAAAAACAACTTCAGGCTAAATTGGTTTTACACCAAATGGCTTCCTTATATACTCCAATATATCCTATTGCTTGTCATTTATTTATCATATCCCTAACAATGGGCATTGAACTGATATCCCTGGAAATCTGGTAGCAGATACCAAAATCTTTAAAGTCAGATATGCCTCTTTAGTGTTCCTATTTTTCTCTTTTAATTTATGGAATTTGGGGTTCTATTTAAGAGTAAATACTTGCTTGTTTCAATATTAATGTATTCTCTCCAAAATATATACGTAAATTGGTACATCACATGCATCCTCTTTATTTTTTGGCCATGAGAACTGTCTAGAAGACCTCTGTACATCCCCAAGGTTCACAAGCACCCAAGCTTGAGGAACATGTCATTGGATATCACAGGTGGCCTCCAGCTCTAATCTCTAATTTTATGTACCTGTATTTAGAAGAAAACCTTGAAGATTACGGGGAAAAGAAAAGCTTATATTTCTTAGACAATATAAACTATGGGTTTACAAGAATTGGTAGCTGTACATTAGAAAAAAATCGCCTGACATTTTGGCTTGTTATCTTTTCTTCAAGACAATGAAAATGAGACACAGATATAGAGGAAACTATTCTCAAATGGATTTGGAGTGTTGGCATTAAAGATCAGAAACCTTGGAAAGCTTGGAGTTTGTCTAACTCTGTAGCTTTGCCTCTTTCTTTTCTGGTTATGTTACGCTAACCTGTTGGGACACGTGTTCTGTAGCAATGAAGGACAGTGCAATGTCCTGGATCCCCCAGAAGAAGTCAGCCACATGCCTGTTAGCAAACTACATCCATTTTGCATTTTTGCTTTTCAAGACACTCTGAGTTCACGTATAATATTCAGGTAGAATTTTATGATATAAGATTAGAGAAGGTTTATTCATTGTCTGAGGGTGATGCCAAAAGAAAAAGATTTTCCAATTTTATACTTTTAAACCCTTTTTAAAAAAGTACTTTAACTTCTAAGTAGTGATATTCATTTTCATCTGCAAAAATACAGTAAAAAATAGCCTCTTCATGACTATTCTCGTTCATTCAATCCTGCCGCCTAGGCTTACCTTTTGTCATACTTGTAACTATTGCGTTACTAAATGTGTCAGCTCAGGGGCACCTTTCGTAGTATCTTTTACTAATTAGACTCACGTTTCTCCATGGCTTATGTTTTCTCTAGGGTCTTGCTGCCTTCTTCCGTTAGCCGGTCCTCCCACGCTCTCCTTGGACTGTCTTGTCTCATAATTCTTAAGAAAGTCACAATGTTCCCTACAATATGCGCGTCATGCATTCTGATCCTAGCTGAATAAAAATCTTGGCAGAGTTCCAATTTCTTCTCTGCTCTGGATTTTATTTAGTTGAAGAAATTTTGATTCAGAGAGGTATATTTCACCCAAGTCATTCTGCATAAGAGTAACTCTAACATAATTTTTACTCTTGTAATTTTTGATATCATTTACTCTTTGAAATTAATCTTGGATTTTTATTTTACCAGTCCATGGATTATGGAACTTAACAAAATTTTATTTTATTTTATTATTTTAAAGTTTTTCAGCTTTATTGAGATATGAGAAACAAAATTATAATAAGACGTTTAAAGTGTGTGATGTGACGATTTAATATACATACACATTGTGAGAGGATTCTCTCCATGGATGCAGTATTATGAATCACCGTATTATAATAATCCTCAGGATTTATTCATTTTATGACTAAGTTTATACACTTTTACCAGCCTTTCTCATTTCCCTCATCACGCAGTCCCAGGCAACAAATTTTCTACTTTGTTTCTATAAGTTTGACTTTTTAAAAACAATTCCACATATAAGTAATACCAAGCCATGTTTATCTTTCTCTGTCTGGCTCATCTCACTTAGCATAATACCCTTCAGTTTCATCCCTGTTGTTGCAAACAACAGGATGTCGTTCTTTTTTTAAAGCCTGAATAATATTCTATTGTATATATATGTCAGCTTTGTTTATCCATTCATCCCCAATAGAGAGTTTGTTTCCATACCTTGGCTATTGTGAATAATGCTGTAATGAAGGTGGGAGTGCAGCTACGTCTATGGGATAATGGTCTCATTTCCTATGTATATATACCCAGAAGTGGGATGGCTGCATCATATGGTAACTATATTTTTAATTTCTTGAGGAACCTTCATACTGTTTTCCATAGTGACTGTATAAGTTTACATTCCTACCAACAGTGTGCAAGGCTTCCCTTTTCTTCATGTCCTCACCAGCATTTGTAATTTCTTGTCTTTTTGATAATAGCCATCCTGACAAGTGTGAGGTGATACCTCATTGTAGTATTGATTTGCATTTCCATGACGATTAGTGATGTTGAGCACTTTTTCATGTACCTGTGGACCATCTATATGTCTTCTTTGGAAAAACGTCTATTCATATCCTCTGCCCATTTTTTAATCAGATTGTTTGTTTGTTTTTTTGCTACTAAGTTGTATGAGTTCCTTATATAATTTGGATTCACCCTCTTATCAAATAAATACGTGATTTTCAAATATTTTCTCCCATTCCGTAGGTTGTCTTCTCATTTTGTTGATGGTTATCTGTGCTAAGCAGAAGCTTTTTAGTTTGATGTAGTCCCACTTGTTTATTTTTGCTTGTATTGCTTTCACTTTTGCTGTCAAATCCAAAAAATCATTTCCAAGAACAATGTCAAGGAGCTTATATCCTATGTTTTCCTTTAAGAGTTTTACAGTTTCAGTTCTAACAATCAAAAATTTAATCTATTTTGAATTAAATTTTGTGTATGACGTAAGAATTGGGACTAGTTTTATTCTTTTGCATGTGGATATCCAGAATTCCCAACACCATTTATTGAAGAAACTATCCTTTCCCCATTGTATATTTATGACTCTTTTGTTGAAAATAAGTTGACCTTATATGCATGGATTTATTTCTGGGCTCTCTGTTGTATTCCATTGATGTATGTGTATTTTTTATGCTAGTGGCATATTGTTTTGATTATTATAGCTTTTTAACATAATTTGAAATCAGGAAGAATAAACCCTCTAGTTCTTCCTTCTCAAGATTGCTTTGGCTATTTTGGGTCCTTTGTGATTCAGAACAAATTTTAAGACTGACTTCTCTATTTCTTGGAAAAATAACATTGAAATTTTGATCGGGATTGCATTACATCTGTAGATCACTTGGTAGAATAAACATTTTAACAATATTAAATCTTTAAACCCATAAATATGGAGTATCTTTCCATTTAATTGTATCTTCTTCAATTTCTTTCATCAGTGTCTTGTAGATTTCAGTGTCCACATATTTTACTTCCTTGGTTAAATTTAACCTAATTTTTAAAAAGTTTTTGATGCTTTTGTAAAGGGGATTGTTTTCTTAATTTCTCCTTCTCATAGTTTGTTATTAGTATATAGAAACACAACTGATGTTTGTACATTGATTTTGTATCCTGCGACTTTACTGAATTGGTTTATTAGTTCTAACAGCTTTTTGGTGGAGCCTTTAGAGTTTTCCATATACAATATCAATTTACCTGCAAATAGAGACAGTTCCACTTATTCCTTGTGCTTTGGATGCCTTTTATTTCTTTTTCTTGCTTAATCGATCTGACTAAGACTTCCTGTACCATGTTGAATAAAAGTGGTAAGTGTGGGCACCCGATCTTAGAGGGAAAGCGTTCAGCTTTTCACTCTTGAGTGTGACTTTAGCTGTGGGCCTGTCATACATGACCTTTATTATGTTGAGATAAGTTCCTTCTATACTCATTTTTTGAGAGTTTTTATCAAGAAAAGATGTTGAATTTTGTCAAATGCTTTTTCTTTATCTATTGAAGTGATCATATGATTTTTCATCCTGAATTTGGTTAATGTGGTATATCACATTGATTTATTTGCATATATTGAACCATCCTTGCATCCCTGAAGCAAATCATACTTGATCAGGATCTGTTATCCTTTTAATGTAGTGCCGAATTTGGTTTGTTAATATTTTGTTGGGGATTTTTGCATCTATGTTCAACAGGGATTCTTTACAGTCTTTGGTTTAGTTATCAGGGTAATGTTGCCCTTTGAAAATGAGTTTGGGAGTATTCCCTCCTCTTATTAGTTGGAAAAGGATTGGTCCTGATTCTTTGTTAAATGTTTGGTAGAATTCACCAGTGAAGCCATATGGTCCTGGGCTTTGATTTGTTGGCAAGTTATTGATTACCAATTCAATCTCCTTACTAGTTAGTAATTGATTGTTCAGATTTTCTATTTCTTCATAATTAAGTTTTAGCAGGTTGTATGTTTCTAGGAATCTATCTATTTCTTCTAGATTTTATAATTTGTTGGTATATAATTTTTTTGTAGTAGTTTCTTATGATTTTAGTGCTTCTTTGTCAGTTGTAATGTCTCACCTTTCATTTCTGATTCTATTATTTGAGGCTACTCTCTCTCATTTTTTAGTCAGTGTAAAGGTTTGTCCATTGTGTTTATATTTTCAACTAGCTCTCAGTTTTATTGATGTTTTTGATTGCCTTTTAGTCTCTATTTCATTTATTTCTACTCTGATCTTTGTTATTTCCTTCTTTCTACTAACTTTGGATTTAGTTTATTCTTCTTTTTCTAGGTCCTTGAGGTTTAAAGTTAGGTTTTTCATTTGAGATCTTTCTTTTTTTCCTAATGTGTGCTTTTATCACTATAAAATTCCCTCTTAGAACTGATTTTGCTGCATCCCATAAGTTTTGGTATGTTGTATTTCCATTTTCACTTGTCTCAAGACAGTTTTTGATTTCCCTTTTGATTTCTTCTTTGACCCATTGGTTTTCAGGAACATGTTGTTTAATCTCAACATAATAGTGGAGTTTCCATGTTTTTCCCTCCAATTTATATCTACATTCATATCATTGTTATCCAAAAAGATGCTTGATTTGGTTTCAGTCTTGTTAAATTTTTAAGAAATATTGTGTGGCCTAATATTTGATCTATCCTGGAGAATGTTCCATGTGAGCTTGAGAAGAATGTTTATTCTACTCCTACTGGATGGAATGTTCTGTATGTGTCTGTATATGTCTAACATGTAGTTTAAATCCAGTATTTCTTTATTGATTTTCTCTCTGAATGATCTATTCATTGTTGAAATTGAAGTATTGAAGTTCCCTACTATTGTTATATTGTTGTCCATTTCTCTCTTCATATCCATTAATATTTGCTATAGGTGCTTCTATGTTAAGTACACAAATATTTACAAATGTTATATCCTCTTGATGAATTGACCTCTTTATCATTGTCTAATAATCTTCTTTATCTATTAGAATTTTGGCTTAAAGTCTGTTTTGTCTGATACAAGTATAGTTACCCCTGCTTTCTTTTGGTTTCCATTTTCATGGAATATCTTTTTCCACCCCTTTACTTTCAGTCTATATGTATCTTTAATGGTGAACTGAGTCTCTTGTAAGCTGCATATAGGTGGGTCTTGTTTTTTGTTTAAATCCATTGGGCCACTTTATGTCTTTTGATTAAAGAATTTAGTCTGTATGTATTTAAAGTATTTATTGATAAATATGGACTTACTCTTGCTATTGCTATTTTGTCCATTATTTTCTGGTTGTTTTGTAATTCCTTTGTTTGTTTATTCCTGTCTTGCCTTCCTTCTTTGTGGTTTGATGATTTTCTATAGTGCTATGTTTTGTTTCCTTCCCAAAGCCCCAGCACATGGTTGTAAATCCTAGTTGTAAGCCATTCTAGTTCTTCTATGTGAGCCACCACCACAGCATGGCAACTGACAGATAGGTGATGTGGTTCTATGACTGGCAAAATACCCCTAAGCTGGTGAAGTGGTAAGAATGCCAAACTTTAACCACTAGACCATCAGGGCTGGCTCTAGAGCTGTGTTTTGATTCCTTTCTTTTTTTTTTGTTCTATATCTACCATGACTTTTTGCTTTAGGTTATCATGAGGCTTACATAAAATATCTTATAGTTATAATTTCTATTTAAAGCTGTTAACAATTTAACCTCAAGTGCATATAAAAGATGTACATTTTCAGAAAATTTAAAATTTAATCTCTTCTGCTCTTTTGTCATTGATTTTTAAAGTATTCCATGACTCAAATTTTCTCCAAAAGATAGCAAGTCAAGAGCACATTAAAAAAGTGAATGTTTCTCTCATGCAGTTCCTGAATTCTTTTTAGAGCCACTTCCAGATACCTATACTCTCTGTGCTATCATTCTCCTACATTGAATTATTTTTATA